CGATCTCTCTCGGGCACTTTTTGGTGTCTTTCACTTCGCTTTTGTTTGTTTATTCAAGTTTTCTGTCTCTCCCTGATTTATTTATTATTGTTTTTACACCTCTTTAAGCACACACACAAATACACACACACACACACACACACACACAGACAAAGAGTGCCAGTACACTAAAGATGTTCCTTGTCCATCGGCAGGGGCTAGTGGGGAAGGTGCAGAGGTCAGGGTTTAAGGGTCAGGGGTCAACTAATCGGTCACTTCATCAACTCATTACTCTGCTTCTTAATAAAGGGATTAAAGCAGGCAGGATGAGGTAAGCACCACCTCTTTACAAGCCATTACATCCTTTGCTATAACATTTTAACTGCAGATTGATTGTGCTTCTTTCTTTTAATCGATCAGGTTCTGGTTCTCTACATATTATAGGTAAAGTGCTGTATTTGCTTGATTTTACAATGGGGTCCTGAACTGAAGAGATTCAACAACTCCTGCTACCAGATGGTAATATTATTTTTGAATATTGGAAACACTGCCAAGGTAGCTGGAGGAATGAGATAACCAGGGTTCCCTCATCTCTGCCAGACAATTTATGTGGTTAGACAGACAGCAGGGCTTCTCGTGTCTGCTTTGTCCCCGAGAGAGTGTTTTGTGGTATGAGGTCATTAGACTAATGCATGCGGACAGGAGAAACCGATGATCTATTTGTTTGTGTCAAGGGAAAAATAAATGCACCTCTGACAGATTTCCTTTAGGCTCTTCCTCTGTAATTAATCTCTCTCTAAATGTGACCTCAAAGAATTGCTCCTGGGTCTGTCCCATCCTGCTTTCTCTCCATCGTTGCATTCATACATTAACAGAGCTGGAGATCATCAAGGTCATCTATCCAGGTGGGCAAAAAAAACAAAAAAAAACCCGGACAAAAACAGGCCAACATTAACACATACAGCACACGGTCTAATGCTATCACAAATCTTCATATCACTTCAGTAGGAAGTTAGATAAGAAACACTGAAACTGAAAGAATGTGTGTTTAAACAGGTGATAGCGCGAATGACCGCATTAAATGACTGATTCTCAACGAGCATTTAACAGTGGGGAGGTGGTGGATTAGATAGGCTGAGGGTGCACCTGGACAAATACACACACACACACACACACATACACAGGCGTGTAGACTTGACATCCGTATCCAAATTGGTGCAAAACAGTGTGACCTGTGATTCTTTCTGTAACCTACCATGGCGCTTTCTTATCAAAACCTTTGATCTGAAAACTCTCATCTAAGTGCTGTTAGTTAGCTGAAACCAAAACGGAATAATCACACATCCACATGGTGACATAATAGTTTCAGTCAACACGATAACGCCACGGATACAGTATTGAGACAGGTGGTGGCATGCTGATTTCAGTGTTAGTAAAGCAGGCTCAGCACAATGTGAAGTCAAACACCTGCTCCCAGCTTATCTTGTGTGCTTGTGTGTCTGTTTGTGTGGGCATATCATAATGAGGTCATTATGGCAGCTAATGGGAAGCAAATAGAGGGGTCCGCCCGCTGGCAGCCACACAATGACACACGTCAATTTAGAGACCAGCCAAGGTCACAGAGATAAACAGAGGGATGGTACAGTGTATGTTCATTCCCTCACAGTTTGTATTGTAAACAAACCATGACCATTTTTGTTCAGCAAAACTACATATTCCTAACTGTATTTGCGCTGATGTAATGCAAGAGTGCAATACGAATGTGTGTCTTTCAGGATAAATCTGAATAATATATATTTAAAATACTTTAAGAAAAAGAAAACTATTTGTTTTGATCTCTTTATCTCTATAGCCTCCTCAGCTCGCAAAACAACCTGCCTTTTAATTATAAAAACAGTGTTTAGTTGAAATCTGGACGGCAGAAATGTGTCAAGGTTTCCCTTCCAGGCAGCTGAGAAAAGATGGAATACACACACACACACACACACACACACACACACACACACACACACACACACACACACACGGCTGGTGGAGTTCAGAAACGTTCAGGCCATAAAGTTTGACATATGGAATGGCGTGTTAATCAAAGACTCCACGCTCCCAGCTGGGGCAGCCTCACTGGGAACACAGTCTGACATGCATACTCGAGAATGTCCTTATGTGTGTGTGTGTGTGTGTGTGTGTGTGTGTTTCTCATGATAATGTAATCCCTGTCACCCTTTGTAGTGATAGGGTGGTATTTGTGTGCCTGGTTTTTGCACGTGTGTGTATAGAATGTGATTGCTACACCCTTTTAACATTACAAAGGTTTTATACATTTGTTCTGTTAAACCTCTCCGTAACTTTACCCTTTAAATCTCCATGAAAACGTTATATTTATATAGTTTATTGGAAGGATTTGCTTGATCAGAGAAATCTGTTGAGAGGGATGAAGCAGAGCAAATAATAGGGGTTTCCATAGCAGAAAGAGAGACAGTACCACATCTCTCTAGCTTCTTCCTTATTTGTCTCTGCCTCTTTCCTTCTTTATCTCTCACCTTTCATGAACTGAGCTCAGGTGGAACAGGAAAAAAGTGTTGAGTTTGTAGGGAAAACAAATGGCTTTACTCATGCTCTAAATGCCCCTCTATATTCTTTGTTTACATCTCTCCAGAACGCAATCAAACACACATAAACCCTGACATCTTTACATGATAAGTGGTCCTAGTGTTCAAAACTGGCAGATATGAAGCCTGATCCATATAGAAAACTATATTTATACATAGATTTTGATTATGTATGTTGCTATATTAGTATGGATTGGTCTGTAAAATTAAAATACATGCTGATGTGCAATACCACAGCACAATATATGGCTGCTGCAGAAGCAAAAATAATTAAAAAATGAAAAAGTAGAAAATGCAGACTTGTCAAAAATGCTTACAGAACCAGTACAGTCTTCCCGGATTCCTAGAAGGGCAGATCAGTAAATAAAGACATTGTGAAAGAAGATAAGACAACACAGAAAAGGAGAGCTACAGAGACAAAGAGTGATGAGAGGAAAAAGAGAGATGAGAGAAACGAAGAGGGCTTCATTGTTTTCATCTTGCTCATTACTGAAGGGGATGACGATAGCATAATATAGTGCTAATGGGGGAACAAATAGCGTGGAGTTCAGCTTACATAACTGCTGAGTGACTAATCACACAACATGTTTCGTCGACACACGGACAGCTACTAGCGCTCCAGTTTTTTCTCTTTCTGTGTCACACGCACTCAACCCCCAAACAAAAATAGCCATTTTGTGAATGTTTCAAATAATTTAGTAAGTACAAAAAAATATTGCCAATGCCAACCAGCAGCCAAGAGAAAGAAGACATCACAAGTTCTTGCATGTGGCCATCTGTCATCCAGTGATGCATTCACTGACCCAACCCCCTGATGTCAAGCACAGGCCCATACAGCAATGGACCACTGTCACTACCTACCCAATGAAACCACATGTGCAAGAACATCTGATAACCCAAATAGCCAGCTGTTTGTAGAACGAGGGAGGAGTGAGAAACAGAGAAGGAGGGAGAGACAAAGCCCTGCTGGCTGCTGTGTGCAGTTTCCCATATATGCCGGAGGATCACATTGGCCATACATCAACACACTTCTGTCGGTAGGGGCTCCAGGCACGACAAACGCAAAACATAACCACAATGTCACCGAGCCACCAGCCAGCCGTCCGGCATCATCAGCTGGAAGTGAAGAATGAGGAAGAACAGACGAGAGTGAGGGCGACTGTAAGAGCGACAGAGAGAGAAAGACGAGTGGAGAGTTTTAGACGAAGGAACAGCCAACTATCTGCCATGTCACTGTCCAATCTAGCAAATCAGACAAGGTTTTCACTAGCTAAGAGCACTCAGCGCTGCTAACCCACAAATGACACAACAAGAATTCCTGTGTGCACCGCATTAATGGTTGATGCTAGCTGTGTGTAGCGAGACAGCAAACACGACAGCCAGTCGAATAAATTCTACATCATGCATGGTTTCATGAGCCGACGACGACGCCATTACACTGCTTGGCATGCCAAGGGGCCTTGAGTGCATTCAAACCTGATGGTTTATGGTCTACTGCCAGATATTTCTGTGGTGTAAATCTAATCTGCCACATCAGCCACCCAAGTACGTGTTTTTTTTTAGACTGTCCGGACCTATCACATGTTGCACTCTGCTCGGGGCTGCTTCAGAAGCACTGACGTGCAATCAGAGGTCTGCGTGCCTGTGCCAAGGAAGCACTGTAAATTGTCAGCTGACGAAAGACTGGAAAGAGTGTGTTTTGGGTTTGGTCTGAGGAGGCTTTAGCCAACAGGAAAGCTCCAGTGTTTTCCTCTCCATGGGGCATAATGGATTCTCCCCGCCAATAAAACACTATTCCGGCTGGCGGCCGCCACCTGAGAGCCTTTCCCACAACACCCCCTCCTCTGCCAGAGCCCAGACCCAGCCATCACTGGAGATCTGGGACAGATGGAAGGATGGAGAGACGATGGTTGAAGAGAGGAGGAATGTCAAAGAACGATGAAAAGGGGCAGATGGTACGAAAAAGGGAGGGATAGAGGAAAATTGGCATCAATCTCTTTCTGAGATGGTTATGGAGAATCGTTGATTTCTTAGCAATGTATCTGAGCGCCACCACCCATATCTGAATACACAACATGATACTGACATACAGACAGGTTAACATGACAACCGACAACAAAACACAATACAACACAGACTCATCCAGTTGCTCCCTTGGCCACCCTTTGCTGCATACCCCTCCTCTTCTGCTGCATCTGTCCATGTTCACCCCTTCATGTCTCCGCAGACTTGAGATGAGCAGGCAACACAGAGACCACGAGGGCAGTACACTCTGGAGCAATGGCCCATTGATGATTCTATCAGCTTACACACATGCACTCATTGTCCACACGCACATTTAGATTGCTGGCATCACGCAGGATGTTGTGCAAACCTATCAAAGAAGCGAGTGAGCTCACAAATGTTTTGTACCTTCTTTCATTATCGTCCAGGTGAGCAAACAGCACATTCTTGGAAATGGCTTTGGCCAAGGCGGTCATGGTCTTGTAGTCCTTAGGGATCACCTGTGTGGACGAAGCAGTAATATCCATTACAGTATACCGCATCAACACTATGCAGGTGGACACATGAAACAGACCAGCACAAACACATAATGGGCCTGACTTCACAAGCGGACTAAATTGAGTAATTAAAGAGCACCGTATTGGCAAACTCTAAAAGGAATATCCCATACGTGTGTCTGCGTATTTTTGGGAAAGCCCATCTGTTCAGGGATTACACTCAAAATGTCACACAGCCCTTAAAAATTCACAAGGGGCCTGAACTCATTCATAAAACATGCATTTTCATGTCCCAGACTCTGTGGTGTGTGTGTGTGCGCGTGTGTGTGTGTGTGTGTGTGTGTGTGTGTGTGTAAGGGAATGGCAAAGTCTGTAGCCACAACAAAGCCACATAAGTCTGTATTTATAAAGTGGCATCCTAGAAGAAACCTTTTACCGTGGGTGAGGAAGGGAAGAATAAGAGAAAGAGGAAGAGTGACCAAACCGAACCACTCTTGCTACAGAATAACTTGAGGAGGGAGAGGAGTGTGTCCGTGTGTGCACGTGTTTTGTCTCTGGTGGTGAGGGAGAGGAGGGGGTAGGTTGTAATTACGTTAGAGCAACAGATGTCTCCACATGAAGACGACCACGCAGCACTGTGCACAACATGCACACAAATACACACACAAAACCACATCACATATGACTTTAAAAAGTACCAAAATGTATCTATCTGCAGCACTCGGGGCCTGGCTACACAGTGGACAGAAAGAGAAAGAGAGTTAAAAAAAGTAAAAAGTGAAGTTAGGCTTCAGAATTACGCCCCCATCTGCATTTTTTCTTCACCAGCCTTACATACGGTAAATTGGGATTTTAGCTGTGATACAAAGCTCCATATTTAATCCCACAACAACCCTTTAAAGTTGGAGGGAAAATCTGACTGGGTGCCCATTTTGTTTCCAGCTCGTCAAGAGGGTTTCCACAGTAGTTCCCATCAATCTGACGCCAGCCCTGCAATTCACTCTGTCAGAGTCATCTCCGGGCCGACAGGCCTAACAATTTGTTGAGACTCATGGCGCTTTACGGCAAAGCTCTTTTTAATCAGATGAGCAGGGTTAGCTAATTGATTGTGCTCTGTTTAACAGCTGCTGATTTTCACAGTGGAGTCATTAATGGAAATGGTGATGTAGGGAGATGTTGGCACATAGAGTGCGTGTGTGTGTGTGTGTGTGTGTGTGTGTGTGTGTGTGTGTGTGTGTGTGTGTGTGTGTGTGAGAGACTGTGACTGTGTGTCCGTTACCTCAGTGTACATCAATGGCCAGATGAAACCCTCTTTCATACTGAAGCAATAATGGGCTTTCATCTTCTAATTCAATTTTAATGAACTCGTCTCTGATGGCCTGTTGTGTTGAGTAAGCACATGAATTCATTTGTTTTTCACATGCAGCTGACGTGGCCGTCTGATTCGTTGCATGTGTGTGTTGTGTGTGTGTGTGTGTGTGTCCGTCTGTGAGATAGTGAGGGACAGTGAGGCTGGAGATGGGGGCAGGCTTGTTGCCTCGACACATAACTGCGGTGTCTGGTAGAGACTTTAGAGCCATAAACACAAGTGCTCGTGGGTGTGTGCACACACCTGATACACACACACACTCACTGCATGCTCCAGTGGCCATGCGATTACAGCGTGGTGATGGGGGTTCGTGCCGCTTTGTCATTACCCGGCAATTAATTGCGCGTCAAGTTAATTACAAATGAACAAGCATGGCAATGATACAATGACTAGGGTGTATAAGTATGTACAGTATGTGAGTGTGTGTCTGTAAAGGTGAGTTATAGTTTCTGGCTAAAGGGCACCCTTTCCAATAGCTCCATTAAATTGTGGAATGAACACTTGACAAGACGATGCTGTCCAAAAGTGTATGGGTATGCAAAAGTTAAATGATTTTAACTTAATCTCTCAACCATATTGTCTGGTGTACTGTCTTACAAATCAGAGACGCAAACAAAAACACAAGCATAAAATAAATGAAAACAAAAAAAAACGTTTTAAATTATTCTCAGATTTTATATAATGTTATTATGTTGTGTTTATTTCTCAAACAGCATTTTCATGAGGAACCCAGTTTCTGTAATCAGGGTAGGGGATTAGAGAAACCCCATTTTTCCAGCTAGAGGTCTCCTGGTGAAAACTGATTTGTGTATACATGTATACCAGGTTTCTTATCAGCTTTCTGCATGAACACATGTGCATGACAAAGAACTAAGATAGGGCATGCAAGATATTTGATTACATGTAACAATGCATCCTCGCATTTAGAACAATTTAATTCAAAAACTGAAACAAAGTAGCCTCTAGAAGTCTTAATAAGTGAGCTTCCACAGATGAACCTGGTTTCTTGTGGGCATGTAAATGCATTGAAATGTGGGGGTCCATCTGACGTTGATGTGGTTTAGCTCAGTTAGCGAGTAAATAAAACTAACATGAATGAAAACCGTTGCCCTGCAAAGAACCTGCGTGGGAGTCCATCACAAGCAATCTAACGTCACAGAGTTGAATCTCAGCATCTGTGCAGAACATCTATTTTGCAGCAAATAAATTCACTGTCAGCGTCCCTGTCCGTTCATTAATTGCTGTCATAAATGTACACAGCTTATCTCCCTCCGCACTGTCACGATGTTTCGATGAATGTGTTTACATTCGTGCTCTTGAGTGGGTGTCATCAGACCAACAGCTCTGTTTCCAAACAAATAAACAAATAAATGTGTTTTTGATCACATTAGAATTTTTTATTTATTACACTGATTACTTAGATTAGAGCCCTGTGACTTATGCACATATTAATAAATTTTTGTATTGGATGTTTGTCTATGATGTGTATGCATATCAATGTTCCAGCTGTGCGTGCCACGATGCGTCTGTGCACACATGTTTGCGTATGCACCCATCTTTCAACGCTGACCTTGCGTACGTAGCTGACAGCGTCCTCTTCAGTGTACACCTCGGCGCTGACCCCTCCCCTGCGGCGCCGGGCCTTAACAACAGGGTTGGGCGGTGGGGGAGAAACCTCGTCATCGTGTGAGTCTGACTGGCTGTTAGATTTCTGGCGTGCCATGATCTGCTTGCATTCTTCCTGTGAAAAGAAGAGGAGAGACAAGATTGTTCGAGAGGGACAAGCATAGAGAGCGCCACACAGAAAAAATCAAGTTCAAGCGTAAATAGCAGATGGTCCATCAAACCAGTGGCCCCTGTTGACAAACTCAATAAATGCGAGAAAAAAAAAGGGGCATACCTAGGAAAATAAAACCAACTACTATTGCAGCTTCAGTCAAGACAAACCTGTCTCTGAACACCCTTTCTGACGTCAAGCGTCATGTGGATTCTTAACTGGGTCAGACAGTTCAGTGGACATGTCCTAGTCCTGAGTGCACGCTGTCTGGACATCTGGCTGCTATGGTATGACGTGAAAGGCATCAAATATTAATACCTGCAGGCCTGAACACGCAGAGAGAAGAAGGCTCAGCGAGGTGCTCTCCTCCTCTCAGATAATCAACAAACAAAACAAATAAAGACCAAAAACCAAAGATGAACGGGGCGACTCGGTGCTTCTGACTGCCTGTTGCTTTAACTGCTGCAGGTGATGAATTATTGATTGCACACTTGATTAACACATTAGCATGAGTACACAAGAAAACCCATGCAGGCTAGTTATTGTGTGAGAGTGCTGTGAGACAAGGGCAGTGGTATAACAGTGTGTGCAAAGGTAGCCAACATCCACTGCTTTGTGAGTTTCCACTAACAATGACTGGTGTGTGTGTGTGCACCTGCTGGCACAGTGGGTTTATTCCTTTATTTGAGTGCATTGGGGTGTCCAATAGCACAGCGGGGAATGAGTTGGCAGCAGTATTATTCACCATCGCATGTTTTGGTATGGTCACAATCTCATCTGTTGGCTGGTTCACTGCATTGCTGCTGGGTAGTCAGAAATAAACAAAGGTGTCTCAGAGGGACAGGACTCCAGGTAGGCAAGTAGCAAGAGGTGGCACTCTCACATTACAGTACAGAAAACACCACACCGACAGAAATAACAAGGAGAGAGAGAGAGAGAGAGAGAGAGAGAGAGAGAGAGAGAGAGAGAGATGGTGTAAAGGAGGAGGAAGGCAGGCAGCTGTGTGATCCATCTCGTGGTCTCTCCTGCTCCATCACGTGAGCAAGCTGGGTTTTTCATTTTGGTTTAATCAAGAGACACACATTGAAAAATTGTCAATGAACTGATCAACAAAAAATGCATCAGCACGGCCAAATATGTTCTGGTTCAATCTTCTCAACAGCAAAGATTTGTTGCTTTTCTTTTAACTCTTCGATAGTAAACTGAATGTCTTTGTGTTCACACTGCTGGTCGAACAAAACGAGCCATTTCAATAAACACTTTGGGCTTAAACAAATTGTGATGACTATTCGTCATTGTTTTACAGACTAGAAACACAGCAGGTCACTCGATAACGAAAAATAAGCATCAGTTGCAGATAATAAGATAATTTAAATCTATGAATAAAACAATTTACTGTGGTTTGAATTCATTTATGATTCAAGTTCATTTGGGTTGTGCTGAGACAATAACCAATGTAAAAAGTTTAAAGCAGTTTGTATTCTATCACCTTTCATTCATAATTGATTATTGATCATTAACAAGGACAGCAATCAATTAAGGACATTTCTTGCTCACACCACAAAGATGCAAAGCAGACACTTTTTGCGTCCCGGCTTTTGTGGCCCCATTGAGTTCCCACCGCCTCTACATTTTTAGAGTGCGTTGTATAATTCAAGTACCACCATTTTCTTTGAAACACAGCGAGGCAACTTTTTTTTTTCTCTGCAAACTGGAGAGGGGAGAAGAAAAGAAGAAGACCTGGAGCAGCTGGGAGCAGGGTGATTACTGAGTGCCTTGAGCAGGGAGCAGAAATGGCTGCTGCTTCACTCATGCTCATACACTGACAGGGAGGTGAAGACAGAGACAGGCAGGAAGAGGAAGGCAACAGAGTGACAGAGAGCTCACAAAGACGACAGAAACAAAGAGGGGGCGACCTGGAAACTGAGACAAACGAAACTGTCAAATCCAGATCTTCTAGCACTTCTCTCTTTCTTAACGATCATCCCAGCAGCATAATGTAATAAGGACAGAGAGCAGTAATACAGCAATGCTATAATGACACACAGCAGCAGCCTGTTAGACACTTCAGCTTGCACTTTCACTCAATTCTATGAGTTGCTATCCTTTCATCTCATTGTCATTCTCTGTCTCTCTCCATTTCACTGCGTTCTCCGTTTGACTTTGTGTCCCTCCTGCTAATCACATCCTGAGGTTACTGTGACGCTTCGCTCGCTGTCTGTGTAAAACGGTCTGATGATGCAGATCACACGCGCGCACATCTTGCTTACGCAGAGTCACTGCCCGAGGGAACGCGGCCAGCAGGAGGAGAAGAGGAGAGGTAGAGCCGGAGAGCAGCATCAAGACGCGATCTCACAAACACATGCACAGGCGGATTGCGTGGGAGGGGGAGAGAGAGCTCACACACTTCAGCTTAATCAAGGTCTGCAATCAGGTAACACACTACTATCGCTTAAGACAGCGCCTCCCTTTCTTTCAAGCAGTGCCGATACATGCATAAAAACGCTCACTGTTAACACACACACTCACTCAAACTAGCTGCCTTGCAATGAAACTTCACATGCATCGACAACAAACACAGTGTTGTACACTACTTGCTCCTGCCTCGATGAGATTACACAGGTTAGCTCCAGGAGGCTAACTACAGGCAATGTTTCTTAGCAGAGGTATTTACCATTGGCATGGAGGGCCCCTGGCCAGGCGTGCTGTTTCTCCTCTCGGCCTGTCAGACGCACCAGGCATCAAGTCAAAGTGTGAGTGTGTCAAAGTGTGCATGGGAATCAACACGCCCGGATCCCCAGCTCATACACACCTGACACATGTCACACCCTAGCAGCAGCAGCAGCATCTTGCCATACTAGCACAGCGACCGCTATGTGTACGTCTTGTGTGTCAGGTTAGAGAGAGAGAGAGAGAGTGTGTGTGTGTGTGTGTGTGAGTAATCAGAGATTATTCCAAGTTTGTGTGTGAGAGAGAGTGAGAGAGTGGCGAAATGTCTGCAATCCCCACGACAGAGCAGCTGAAGAACAAGACTACTGATGAAAACACTGATCACAGCAGAAAGCCTGTTTCTCCATCGCTCCTGCGCAACTCTGGTTCCCTGCTTTCCAGCCCTCTCCCTCTTACACTCCCTTTCTCTCCCTCTCTCTCACGCACACACTCACAATCAGCTGGCGCAATGAGCGGGCTCCCCCCCCCCCCCCCCCCACCCCTCCCCCCCCGTCACTATGACGACCGGGTACTGTGAGCATCCTGAATAGTTGGCGGCGTGTCTGAGCTGGAAGCAACGGTGGCTCAAACACCTACATTCACAGCCGTTCTGACGCCTGTTGACAGATTGTCTCTCCCTCACTTATCCGTCTTCAGGGATTCACAGAATCCCCTCAATACAGACTTCTGTTCTGACCAAATGGCGTGTGCCAATGGCTCCAAACATTCCCACTGGGATACATCATCCTCCCATGCCCCTCCCAGTGTGCCAGACACTGTTCTGTACCATGCAGTGTCTTCCTCACTCCTTGCTGTTCTTAAGCCCCACCCGCACGTTTTCCTCTTGGGTCAGAGGGTCACGCTGCATCAAGTGAGGACTTTGTGTCTGCCTCCAACAAGTCCACATACTGTTCTGGCCCCAGTGCTCAAACACAGGGACACAGCAGCACGGCAGCATGACCTCTGATGTCTCATACGTGTAAATGCATATATACAGTGCAGAGGAGGCTTCATTAGACCGAGGTGAGCTGAGAGCAGCTGCAATGTGTCTTCAGCAGCAGCAGAGGAAAACTTTTTCTTGCTTTAGCTCTTCTGTAACAACACACAGGCAAGGCAGTTTGAGGCAGCGCCATTTATCATTTCCAGGGCTATGCACACAGTAGCAAAGCAAAACACATCTGCAGTTGGGTTTCTTTGCAACAGTTTTACCCTTTTTGCTATACTATCTTAGTGTAATATGTCTATGTCAGCCTCTCTCTCCCTCCCTCTCTCCTCCTGCTCTCCCTGCGTCATCATCAGCGGCTGGATGCCAGAAAGAGAGAGAGAGAGAGAGAGAGAGAGAGAGAGAGAGAGAGAGAGAGA